GAAACTATCGGATGTGTGTGTGTGTGTGTGTGTGTGTGTGTGTGTTACCTTTTATTGAAGATCGTTTTCCTTCAGTTATTCCCACAGAAATGCTCAGCAGCAATCCTCACATTCACAAGGCCCCCTTCATTGTTATTCTGACTCATATAAACGTAGCGCACAAGGTTATCAGCCTCCCCATTCTTTCGTCATGAAGCCACCTATGCCTGGCCGGAGAAAGCAAGTCCTTCACTACCATCTGCTTCATCTTCTTCCATTGCTCTCCATATGGCACGACGCCTGCCGTTAAATAGCCACGTGAGATGAGATGAGCGGACATGCTGTCAGGCCTTGACGCAAAGATATCGTCTTGTTAATTTCTTCAAGAACTCGCAGGCTATAGTAGGGTTAATCACTGGAATCACATGCATGGACATTTCCCAGTTTGATACATGCAATTTCAGTGTTTAAGTTTTTCATAAGTTCGTGTATCCATTTGGACACAGAATTGCTCGAAAGCATTTGAGGTAAGTTACCAATAATAGGCCACGGTTTGGGACCTGGAGGGAGTCTGTGTTTGCTGGATGGCGGAGGGACAGCGTGAGGTTATTTTAGGGTTTTGATGAGCATGAAGAGAGCAATTACGAAGATCATGAGATAGGACCAAAAAGGTGAAATAAAGGAGAAGAAGGCTGTACACTCCATCATGCGGCTTGAAAACACTTGCAGAGCTTGGCAATGGTTGTGTTCATATGCTTCGAACCCTTTGGCCACTATTTATATAATGGCTTGCTGTCAAGAACCCAATTTTTTATGGAAAAAATGGTATAATTCGGACGGTAATAGAATATGTTTTCTATGTTGGTAGCCAGCAACCCATTTTTTCTTACAGACACACATATATTCATATTAAAGAGAACGAGAGAGTTATACGTGTCCAAAGATTGTGGTCACATCGACCACTGTGTTCGTAAGCAAGGAACGTAAGCAGGGGCGAAGCCTCGTTTGAGTACAATTAAAGAATTAAATTAGCTACCGTCCTTCTTTTCACCATCCAATATTTAGGTTCCGACCGACGCATAAGTTGAGCTAAGTAATTCCAATTAATTTAGTACATTTTAACCAAAAGTTTCTGTAACAATGAAAATGCTTATTGAACGCTCTTAATTTAACCAAAAGTTTCTCGCGGCAGAAATGTATTTATCATGTCAATTTCTCTTGGTCATTGAGATTCATGGGCAGGGCAATATAAATTAATATTTAAGGATATATATATATTACCTCCTCCTTTCCTTTCTTCTTTCAAACAAATAAAAATGACTGAAGTTTTTAGTTGGAATCATGTTAGGTCCAATTCCTATTACTTTGGCTCAATTATTCGTAGCTGCATATTTACAATGACGATATGATGATCAGTTGGATTTTTGATTAACTAACATTTTTTATATTAACCTCTTATTTTCTTTGTTTTAATCCTAATTCATATAGGAGGTAAAAGTAACACTTTAAACTAATGTTCCATTATTTCAGTATTATTCTCGATTTAATAAGAATAGAATCACACTTTGCAGGATTTGAACCTGCGACATTGGGTTTTGGAGAGCTGCATCATTGAGGAACATCACTACTGTTGCCGCACCTTCCTTATATTTACAGCTGCACCTCCTTTATTCTTGTCGTTCAATGAATCCCGCTATCCAAAAGAGCAGCAAACATAAGGAGTCTCTATTTTGATTCCGTCCAAATACTAAAGCGTCAATATTTTCGGGACTTCCCTAAACTACAGCCTTAATAATGCACGCATACAGAGATGAGTCACGAGTAAATCAGGACGATCCTTTTCCTCCTCAGTTTACGTTTCAAACATGTATAGTCCTTTAATAATGCTACTACAGTCCAAACACTACAAAGGTTTTTTATTTTGTGCATTTAAAGAAGAAGAAGAAGAAGAAAGCGGCGTCGTTATTTTTCATATCATGAATAGATCCACAATTTTATATTCCCTTCCTGGACGAATTAATTTTATAAGCTTATAACACGTTACTAGCATATGCATCAAATTAAGTTCGTTCCAAATATAAATAGTTTTGTTCCAAGAAAGAGACATGTTTGCACCTAATTTCCATGGTATATATGCTTGGGAGTTCAAAAAGGGAAGGACAAGGGGAGATGATGGTTCAACAATGATTTCGCCTTTTCTTCTGAGTGATAGCCATGTAATATAGTGTTTTTAATATAATGGCTAATTCCAAGTCGAACATTGTGTCAGCCTCCGAATAGGAGAGATTGCTCCCACTTAATGTAATTTTTTTCAGGCGGATTGGATCCCGAGTCATTTACCTCGTATAAAGTATTTAACCCAATGTAATTGGTTTTTTTTTTCCCTTTTATTTGAGAACGCCTTCTTCTTCTAAGGCTCCTTCGATATGATGTGAAAACAACCTAGAGTTACTTGCTTAATTTTTAAAAAAAAAAAAAAAAAAGGAAGATTGTGAACGACGTTTTTTTCCCTCTTGTTAGCCTGGCAATATGAAAATTGATGGAATATATAACATACTGCCTGCTCTGCACATGGCACCATAATTAAATTAGCATTTCTAAAGCAAATTATATATTACTCAAATAATTTTTTGCTAGATTCGTAGGTCATGTTTAATAGAAAGCTATATATATATATATATAAAGTTATAAATATTTTATGTAGAGAACACCTGGTTCATGTTCCCGGCAACCATATATCGTTAAGGGGAAATGGGCAGAAAACAAGATTGCTAGATGATAATTATGACAATAACCAAGAGAGCTTAATCTCGACCCTTGAGCAAAAGCAGTGTAATGGGAGATCCCACGATGAAGACGACGACTCTAACGAACCCAAGAATGGAACTTGAAGAACTGTACCGAGGAATCCCAGATGAGTCCGTCAACTTGTCCTTTCAGGACTTAGTTACCTACTACTTCCGAAAAGAAAATCAGGTCACCCATTTCCCCTGAACCTGCTGTTTCCCAACAAGTTCGCGGTTCTCCTCCTCCTCATCTGATCAGAATATCCAGCCTCGAATTTACCACCGGCTTGCGCACGCCGTCCGACGACAACCGACCCCCCGTCGCCACTGCGACTCCCACATAGACGGACCATGGGATCCTTATGTCCGTAGTCTAGGACGTGCCAGTGGAGGACGGAGCCCTTGTGTGAGAGCAGGTGGGGATACGGACTCGGGATATAGCACGGGGTTTGATGACGTGAGCACGGCGTCGGGAAGAGGGGGTGGGCGTCGCCGGCGACCGGGGATTCCCCGCTCAAAAATTTGCACCATTTGCAGTACCTACGTCTATGTCTTTCGAGCCAGATGCTTGGTAAGTTCCATGTGGCAGATATTTAATTTCAATGAAATATAAAATTTGTTGACTATAACAGATATATTAATGGGAGCGCCTGCAGGTTTGTGGAAGGGTTTATTGCAGGCAGTGTTTGGAGATGGGCATGGGGGATATGATAGAAGGAAGAAAGTGTATCGAGTGTCTCGGCTTGAGATTCAGCCAAAGGTAACCTAACCGGCTTCCTCTTCCTTCTTCACAGTGTGCTGTTTCAGTCTCATGAATTTAACAACATTGGCCAAATGATCAAATAATGTCATTTGCCTTGAAAACACCAAACAGAACGACGATATGATCACGGGCTACCAGTTCAGTCTCTTTTTCCCCCGGATCGGACACTATTAACTGATATAATTGAAATAGGTTTAAACTGTGACCACATCAAATATAATGGTGATTTTACCTTGTCGAAAAGAGCTAGAACATGTTGGGTCGAATAATACTTCCTCCCAGGTCTATAGAAGATTTAGCATGTTAAATATATAATATGTTATTAGTTAGTTAATTTTGAATAGAGTTAATAGATCTAGCATTAACAACTCAGCTTGACCCATTCCACCTTGATGGATATTAACTAACTATATAGAGAGAATTAGAGACGGCATTTGGACTCTTGCTTTACTACAAAATTTTTGTCTGTTCCTCTTTTTATTTTTCCACTTCCAGGTCAAATATATAAACAATTTAAATATTATTTATTTTTAATCTCAGCAATTTATTATTTCATCCAAAGAAGTTGCGTATTAATTTATTGTCAAGTTTGGAAATGAAGGTACATAGAAAAAGCGGGGAAGGTATGGTGCTGGGATGGTAGTACCCAGACACACTGAAACAGGGGGAGCTAAAGTGGGCCGAGAAAAGCCCAAGAAGGAGCGGAGACAAAGGGTATAACAGTCATTACAGTGGCATCACGTTTTCTATGTCAAGAGGCCCAGTGAGCCCAAGGGCCCACCATCTTGATGAACCTTCCTTCATTGCCTCATCCTCCTATTTCCCTTATTCTTCTTCCCTCCCCCCGCCCAAGGGCCCACCATCTTGATGAACCTTCCTTCATTGCCTCATCCTCCTATTTCCCTTATTCTTCTTCTCCCCCACCGCCGCCGCCGCCGCCCCCCCTTTAGCTCTTTTCTTACAAACCCTAGATGCCACCTGCCTCCTAAATTAAGCAAACTTCTTTTACTGATGCAGTAGTGCCAGAACATTTTTTGTTGCCCAGAAGAGTTTGAATTTTTCACTTTGAATCTCTTTAATTTTTTTTGCTCGCTTTGTTAGTTGTATGTTGCTTTATTTAATTTGTCCATTCGCTCTATTTCATTAAAGCTTTATTGTTTACTTTGTTTGGTCTTCTTATTAATCTCCCTTCGTTCTCTTGCTTACGTATGTATTGTGACAAGAAGTTCTTACACACACACACACTTAATGTCCAAGATTATTGATAAACTGAATTAATCATCAAGTGGATAATTATTAAATATCAGCACTAGTACAATTAAGATATCTTTTAATTTCTTCGATGCACATCCAATCAGGCACGGTCAAGCTAAGGTCGGAAAAAAAAAATTAACACGTTAGCCTGTCTTTTACATTTCTTCTGATTATTTGATTGGCTTATATATTAATATCACTATATTAGCTTGGCTTAATTAATCCAAGAGGTAAACCTCATTAGGCAGCCTTGGTTTTGCAACGACCACTAGTGGCTGAGAGATGAAGGGTTCATTCTCAGACTCAACAAGCTTGATCGTTTGATTTGGTGGAGCACTCCAAGCGAATCCATGGATCAACCTAGCAAGCAACATCACACAGAGAGTGGTCCCAAGCACCACTCCTGGACATCCACGTTTTCCTGTTGTGAAGGTTATGAACCGCAGATCTGTTTCTGTCAAGAACACATCAGAGCCATCGTCCATGAGATGTCGTTCGGGTTTGAACTTAAGAGGCTCCTCCCAAACCTTAGGGTTTCGCCCTAACTCCTGTCTGCTCAGTAATACGTGGCTGCCTTTTGGGATGAAGTAGTTGCCAACCATCGTGTCACAAATCGATGCACGGGGGACACTGAATGGAGCAACGGGATGAAGACGAAAGGCTTCTCTTAGGCAGGCTTTGATGTAGTTGAGTTTTGGTATGTCTGATTCTTGCACAGGCCTGTTCTTACCTACTACTTGGTCCAATTCTTCGGCGGCTTTTATAAGAACTTCTGGCTGGTTTATCATTTCTGCGAGTGCCCATTCTGCGGAATTCGATGGATTGTCCACTGTTGCAAACATTAGTTCCTGCAAAATAAATGAAGTTCCGATTGGTTTTTGTTATTGCTTTAAATCAAGTTCTATAAACTTCATCTCAGAAAAGCATTAAAAAAATTGATAGATATATATCAAGTAGGCAAGAGCATTAACTATAATTTGCGCTTTGATTTCCTCCATGGACAATAGGGGGTTATTATGAGCATCCTTGAGAGAAATCATGACATCGAGCAAGTCCTCAGTTTCAGTCTTGGTGCCATCCTTCCAGTGTTTGATTCTCGCTTCAATGATGGGATCATGATGCTTGTTCATTATCCTCAGAGCATTTTTCAACAGTCTCTTTTGCCCATCCAAGTCAAATCTCCTCAAGCATGGCACGAAGTCAGAAACGCAGAAGGCATATAAGTATTTGACAATTACAAAGAGTGCACCCACATGCTCTATTTCCTCAAAGCCTGGCCCCCCATCCTCACCACCCTCTCCAAAATACCTATTACAGAGATATAAAACAGATTATTAAGACATGTTTGATTTGAGGCATTATATCATAGATATGGCAAACTTTTGGATGTCACCTTTTATTGAAGATCGTCTTCCTTAAGACATTCCCACAGAAATGCTGAGCAGCAATCCTCACATTTACAAGGCCTCCTTCATTGTTATTCTGACTCATATAAACGAAGCGCACGAGGCTGTCAGCCTCCTCCATTCTTTTGTCATGAAGCCATCGATGCTTGGCAGGAGAAAGCAAATCCTTCACCACCATCTGCTTCATCTTCTTCCATTGGTCTCCATATGGCACGATGCCCGCTGTTAAATGGCCACGTGAGATGAGATGAGTGGACATGCTCATAGGCCTTGACACAAAACTGTCGTCTTGTTTCTTCAAGAACTCGCAGGCTATAGTAGGGTCAATCACCGGAACCACATGAACATTTCCCAGCTTGATACATGCAATCTCAGTGTTTAAGTTTTTCATAAGATGGTGTATCCATTTGGACACAGACTTGCTCGAAAGCATTTCAGGTAAATTACCGATAATAGGCCACGGTTTGGGGCCTGGAGGGAGTTTACGGAGTGGTGTAGGGGTAGAGCGAGGGTATTTTACGGTTCTGGTGAGTATGAAGAGAGGAATTGCGATGATGATGGAATAGGACCAAAATGGTGAAATGAAGGAGAAAAAAGCTGTACGCTCCATCCTGTGGCTCGAAAACACTTGCAGAAATTGGTAATGGCTGGGTTCATGTGTTTTGGACTCTTGGACCATTATTTATATGATGATTTGTTGTGACGAACCCAACATTTTATGAAAAAAATGAGTAATTGTTCGGATGGTAATAGAATATGTCTTCTATGTTTGTTGCCAACAACCCAAATATTCATATTAGATTAGAGGGCGAGAGAGTTATAGATGTTCCAAGATCATGGTCGTTCGCAAGCAGTGGCGGAGCCTCGTTTGAATAATGCAATAAAAGAATTAGCCGCCATCCTTTTAAGATATAATCTTGCGAGTCTCTAAAATAAGGACCATTTTAATTTGTGTCCGTCCAAACACTAAATAAATCATCATTATTTTGGAGATTTCTCTAAAAAATACGGAATCAGTTTCAATGCTAATCACCTTGATAAGCACCCTAAACTCATCAGATCTGAACCGTCTATATCTTATTTAAACAGTTCAGATTTAAAATTTGTGATTAATCTTTTTTAAATAAAAAATTATTTTTTTGGGAAACAATGATAGTTAAAATATTATCTCTATTTTAGATTTTATATATATTAAAATAATTATTTTGAATCAATAAAAATGAAAAAGAAATCAAATCTAGATTATTCAAATGAGGTATGGGTGATTCAGATCTAATAAGTTTAAAGTACTCATCAAAATGATAAGCATTGAAACTAGTTCCTACAAAAGCATTCTCATTTTCTATATCTTGAATAGATCCGCAATTAACTTCGTTCCAAATATAAACAGTTTTGTTCCAAATGTCAACAAGAAGACAGAAAGACAGGAAGACGCTTAAATTTTTATTCTCCTGATATATTATTTGATTGGCTTGTATATTAATATTATATTAGCTTGCTTAGTTAATCCAATAGGTAAACCTCATTAGGCAGCCTTGGTTTTGCAGCGACCACAAGTGCTTGAGCGATGAAGGGTTCATTCTCAGACTCAACAAGCTCAATCGTTTGATTTGGTGGAGCACTCCAAGCGAATCCGTGGATTAACCTAGCAAGCAACATAACACAGAGAGTGGTCCCAATCACCACTCCTGGACATCCACGTTTTCCTGTTGTGAAGATTATGAAACGCAGATTTGTTTCTGTCAAGAACACATCGGAACCATCATCCATAAGGTGTCGTTCTGGTTTGAACTTCTGAGGGTCCTCCCAAACTTTAGGGTTTCGCCCTAGCTCCTGTCTGCTCAGCATCACGTGGCTGCCCTTTGGGATGAAGTAGTTGGAAACCACTGTGTCACTCATAGGCACATGGGGGACACTGAATGGAGCCATGGGGTGAAGGCGAAAGGCTTCTCTTAAGCAGGCTTTGATGTAGTTGAGTTATGGCATGTCTGATTCTTGAACAAGCCTGTCCTTACCCACTACCTGGTCCAATTCCTCAGTGGCTTTTCGAAGAAGTTCCGGCTGGTTCATCATCTCTGCCAGTGCCCATTCTGCGGCGTTCGATGGATTGTCCACCGATGCAAGCAGAAGTTCCTGCAAAATAAATAAATTTCCGATTAATTTTCATCATTGCTTTAGAGCGAGTTCTACAAATTTCTCCTTCTTAAAATGCATTTAAAAAAAAAAAAAGGAATTTGAAGGACATATGGAGTAGACAAAAGCGTTAACTGCAATTTGCGCTTTGATTTCCTGCGTGGACAATAGGGGGTTATTGTAGCATCCTTGAGAGAAATCATAACATCAAGCAAGTCCTCAGTTTTAGTCTTGGCACCATCCTTCCACTTTTCAATTCTTGCTTCGATGATGGGATCATGATACTTGTCCACTATCCTCGTAGCATTCTTCAACAGTCTCTTTTGCCCATCCAAATCGAGTCCCCTCAAGCATGGCACAAAGTCAGAAACACAGAAGGCATATAAGTATTTGAGCATTACGAAGAGTGCACCCACGTGCTCCATTTCCTCAAAGCCTGGCCCTCCATCCTCGCCACCCTCTCCAAAATACCTGTTACAGAAATACAAAACATAAGTTTTCAGGCATGTTTGATCATCGTACAGTTGTAAAAAACTATCTTTTTCTTCTCAATAATTAAATAAAAATAAGAAAAGTCATCTGTGTGTGTGTATGTAGGTGTTTTGATAATACTCTACAGATATTTGAGGTGTTTGGGAGTAATCAATACATCGTTGAAAGTATTTATATAATTTTATAAAGGAAAATTAAAATACTGCACCGTATGGTCTTGGATAATTTCTCTGGAGCGACGGTGCCGAAGTAGCAGTGCCATGACACTTGTCAGGCCCAAAAAATGTACAGTTTACACTGAAGCATGCATGATGATTTTGAGGATTTTCTTTCATATAAGTTCTTTTCTGATTTGAGGGTTTATGAACTTTGACGAGGTTTAGAGGTTCAAATGGAGGAGGATTAGAGCTTGGGGATGCAGACCAGCAGCTCGGTAAAAAACATCACTAATTACCAGTTTCCTCTCCTTTTTCTTCGTTTTTATCTTCTGTGAGGAATGGTTTGCTCTATACCTTGCTTATGTGAATATGCAATTTATATAACCTAACGTTCTTATTGGATTATTTTTGCTGTTTAATTATGGATTAGTGGATGATGATTTTTAGCATTAATTAGTTGCTTAAATAAATATTTTTTCACAATGTGAGCTTTTATGAAATATATATACACTATATTTGTTCTCCAGTGCTAAGACTTTGTTTGTAATCTACAAATGAGAACTTATAATCAGAATAAGAGGGAATAATAAATATGGAATACAATTGAATGTTACCTTTTATTGAAGATTACTTTCCTCATGACATTTCCACAGAAATGCTGAGCAGCAATCCTCACATTCACAAGACCTCCTTCATTGTTATTCTGACTCATATAAATGTAGCGCACGAGGTTATCAGCTTCCTCCATTCTTTTGTCATGAAGCCACCGATGCTTCGTCGGAGATAGCAGGTCTTTGATTATCATCTGCTTCATCTTCTTCCATTGATCTCCATATGGCACGATGGCCGCAGTTAAATAGCATGTGAGATGAGATGAGCGGACATGCTGTTAGGCCTTGACGCAAAAATATCGTCTTGTTTCTTCAAGAACTCGCAGGCTATAGTAGGGTCAATCACTGGAATAACATGGACATTTCCCAGCTTGATACATGCAATATCAGTGTTCAAGTTTTTCATAAGCTGGTGTATCCATTTAGGCGCAGACTTGCTCGAAAACATTTCAGGTAAATTACCAACGATTGGCCATGGTTTGGGACCTGGAGGGAGTCTGTGTTTGCGGAGCAGTGAAGTGGTGGAGCGAGGGTACTTTAGGGTTTTGATGAGTGTGAAGAGAGCAATTACGAAGATCAGGGAATAGGAGACAAAAGGTGAAATGAAGGAGATCAAGAAAGCTTTAAATTCCATGCAAAACTTGGTAATGCTTGGGTTCATATGCTTTTGCATGTCCCTCTGACCATTATTTATAATGATTTGCCATCAGGAACCCAATTTTTTTAGTGGAAAAAATGGGTAATACGAATGATAATAGGGTATGTTTTCCACGTTTGTTGCCAACAACCCAGTTTTTGTTATATATACATGTATATATGCACCCACATATACATACATTCCTACATTTATATTCATATTAAAGAGAGCCAGAGTTATACATATGTGCAAAGGTTGTGATCACATAAAGCATGGCGTAAGCAGGGAACGTGAGCAGTGGGGGAGCCACGTTTGAATAGGATTTAAGAATTAGCTTGGGTCCCTTTGGAATCCGATCAGGCGAAGCCTCACTGAAGACTAATAAACAGAGGAGGAGGAATCGTCCTCATTATTGTTAACTCGTGACTCATCTGATCTACATGTGTACATGATCTTTTGTGTCTCTGGTCTTCCCATGTTAGCCTGTCTTGTACTTCCCCTCTCCTTTCCTCTGCTTTAGATCAGATCTGTGTAATTAACGACCCTGTCTATCTTCTTCATGTAACGAGCGAGAACAACTGAGCCAAACATTCAAGCATGGATTAAGGAAGCCTTTGATACAACATCATGGTTATAAGATTACTTACTGCGTCGTGTACTCTCCTTTGTCTTTTGTGTGTCTCTGCATATTGCCCATGTACGCACGTGCATGTCTTCTACTCCTTTCTTCCCTTCTGCTAATTATTACGACGGCCGGCCCTTTGTTCTTCATTGCCTGTATCCATGAATATAATTAAGCCAATCAAACAGTTAAAACATATGGATTAATTATGATGTGGTGATTAGTTGAGGTGTGTTTGGATGTAGGATAATTAATGAATGGGGAAAGAGAATGAAAGTTAATCGTTCATTGAAAATACTCCTCCGATTCTAAATGTAAAACACATTTTATAGTATAATTATACTATAAAATGGGTTTTACATTTAGAACTTGACCAGTATATAATAAAGCCTCTTTACTGTTTAAGGATTGTCAATTTAATTAACATATCTTCTAATCCCTGTCCCTCTCCAGAGAGGTTTCTCTAAAATACAGCGTTGATAGTGCTCCTGACCAAACAGTTGAGACACTGCAAAGCGTCCTTATTTTGTGCGCTATTTAAAAAATAAGAACTCACACAAACGGTAACACTCACGCACACAAATGTGTGTGTGTGTTTCAGCAGCTTCCCATGACTGAGTGCGTTAATAATGGAGGAAATACACAATGAGAGAGCCGAAGGCATTGTGGCGTGAAATTCATTCTTATTTTAAAACAAAAAAAGCTACTTAGAATGAGAGAAATTAAATAAAATATTTCAGCTAACTCCTCAAATTTCCCTAGGAGTATATATCTTGAATAGATACGCAATTATATTCCCTTCCCGTGGGAATTAATATTCTAAGCTTAGAAGGCGTCAAGAGCATATATACCAAAGTTCGTTTCCAAATATAAACAATTTTGTTCTGAGAAAGAGACTGGTTTACACCAAATTTCCATGGTAAGTTTGGGAGTTCAAAATGGAAAAGGAAGAAGGAAAGTTAATTAAGGAGAAGGGAGATGATTGTTCAACAATAATTTCCCTTTTCTTCTGAGTGATAACCAAATCTTTATTATACAATGGCAGATTTAAATTTTAAAAAAAATCTCACGAAAAGAAGTTTAAAATTATTAGATCTCTAAAAAGGAATTCATTTATCAAAATATATTACTAAACCTGATTTGAAATTTAGTAATTTTCAACTTATTTTTGTGAGACTTTCCCAAAATTCAAACATGATCATCCTCCCAATACGAGACTGCTCACTTATTTGAGAAAACTTTCTTCTTTCAAATTTCCTTAGATACAAAAGAAGAACCTAGATTTGTACTTTGGGGGAAAAAAAGAAGAAGGAAGATTGTCAAAGACGTTTTTTTTCCTTTTATTTACCTCCGTTTCGTTTGACGAGTAAGATGCATGCTACCTAGCTTAGAATTCGAGGGATGATAAGGATGACTTTGGGAGAAAAGAAACTTATTTTTTTATTTAATCTTTACAAAACAAACGCCATAAAGTAAGCAATATGAAAATTGATGCAATATATAATATACTGCCCGCACATGGCACCACAGTTTTTAATTTAGCACGTATATAAAGGAAAATATATGTTAGTGATTATTCTTTGGAGGAAGCCATGTGCCCATGTGCTTTTTGAAGAAATTATGAAGTCTTACTAAAGCGATCACGCTAAACTAACTATAAAGTAATAATAAGGACTTGGTAAAAGCACGACTCATCACGTGAAGGATTAAAAAAATGTTGGTAAAGATGAGAGGTTTTTGAATTCTTCTTAGAATTGATTGAACCAAATCATTAAAGAATATAGTACTTCACCGATAAATTTTACGAAACTTTTAATTGAAGACATCTTTTCGTTTTTTTTAATGATTTAATTGATCAACATTTACATTCCTTCACCTTATATATTCATGCCGCTGAAATTTAATTTGATAAATATTGATGGTATTACATAGAAGGGTTGATTAATACTCCGCAATCGATTTTCCAGTTTGATGTTAATTTTTTTTAGTGAATATGCGAGAGAAAAGAGCAACATCGATGTTATGATAAGTTCATTGACAATAATTATGATGGACTTTTGACAATAATTATGATGGACTTTTATCAGTTCTTGTATATAAATATTCAGCCTGGCTTCTTTGCAAATTAATATTTACAATTTTTTCCAGACCAAAAAAAAAAACATATATTATCCCATCATTCACGAGCTTTTCTAGCTAGCCAGTGACTAACATCATTATTCCCTAAGCTCACACCCTTCCTCCTACTTTAAGTTAACTATCTCTTCTTATCCCTAAACATCACTTTTAAACCCCAAATAATGCCTTTCCTCATTAAACCATCAACTTTAATTTCTTCAATTTCTTAATCACCACGCACACTTCAACTTAATCCTTCCCGATTATTCACACACGTTCTCTTCTCCAATTAACAAATATATTTTCTTAAAATGAAAAAAAAAAGGCCATTTCTGTTATATCCCCGGCATATTAATTACGTTAGATCGTGTAGTATTCATAGCCTACCAAAATTGATGATGTTCTCCAACGCAATTTCAATTTTAGAAGCAATATCGATCCTAAATTCTGCACTTTATATTTATACAAGTAAGGTTTATTAAGAGGAAACGAGATAGCAGGCAAAAAAAAAAAAACGGAAAGGAGATAATAAGCTTGTATATCTTCGACTATCCACAAAGTCAACTATCCCCTTTTGAAACGTGTGAGGCATGAGTACAAGGGCACTGTGTTGAAAAATATATTTTCAACATACTACCTCATATAATTAATATAAGATTTACTTAATTAATTTAAATAAACTAAAAAATTATTAAATTTGTTATTTGTCAAATGTATATATCAGTTGTTTAAAAATATTTTTTTAAATCATTTGTACTAAAATTACCTTTCGATACAAATTTTCTTAACATACGAAATCAATTCGGATAATCTGAAAAAAAAAGTTAAGTAGGAATAAAATGAATCCATATCTTATATTTAGAATTAAACTCAACTTCAAATTAAACCTTATATTAGAAATGGGAGGTATGTATTTTAGCCATTGTTAATAATCTCAATTCTCATCCGTTTACATTTTTTTCCTTCTCAATAACTATTTTATTTTCTCCGTGGAAACCATTTTATTTACTAGAAGTTTGTCATTTGTGGTTTTATGCTCATTTATTACTATTAATTCTAGTCCTTAATATAAGACCCTATTTGACTTTTATTTTAGTCTTAAATATAAAACCCCAATCTATTTTGTCTCTCATATTTATACATTTTTTTTCCAAAATAGCCCTTCTAACAATAATAGTTATAGTCAATACACTTGATTAACAAGGATATTTTAGGAAAGACAATACTTATTTAGGACAAATAACTAACTCAACTTATTTTCTTAATCTCCTAAAATTAGTCAACTACTCTAATAATTAGGACCAGAGGTAGTATATTATTACACCAAAATTATTTTACAACCGTTACCGTTATTCGAACAATGTAGCTTTAAGGTCCTTTTTGTCTGTTTAGACAATTTGAGCAAAAAAAAAAATAAAACGCGGATTGAGAAGTTTTATTTAAAAAAAAAAAACGAGAACAGAGCACGTTTAGTTTAGAAACAGAAATGGATTTTGATGCTCCATAACACAGAACACGAACTGTTTCAGATTATATCAAATTGCTCGTAAAAAATGTCAACCGTAATATTTAAGACAGAATAATTTTAAAATGAAAAACCATATAGTTGATGGGGATACGGGCTCCATGGGTCCCAAAATCCAAATTTGAACCTCTAGCTCTAGATATTTTTACCCCTCCATCCGTGCAATACACTAGTTTAGCTACAATAAATAAAATCGATTTAATTTTGCTGTACATAATAAAAAATTATAACATCAATGTCAAAAAAAAAATTATAACATTGAAATCCTAAATACGTCCAACTTCTCCCTATAAACTTGCTTGCATGATACATTTGTGCATGTGATGTTACATGTTGATTGCAAAGGACGTGCTTAACATAAAAGATCCAATTAGTCTAAGCACACAAAATAAAGAATTTTTTTAGTCTATTATCTGAATAAACAAAAAATAGAAAAAGAAAACGAAAAAATTAAACTTTAGGAGAATACAGGGAAAGCAAATCAACGAAAAGAAAAATTAACAAATCTGGAAAAGGGCGAAAAAAGGAATATCTAATATTTATATAGATTTTTATCATTTATAGATTTCTTGCAACGCGAGGAAGAAGAAAGGAGACTAGGAGGGACGAACGCATTTCCTCTGCGTCTGTGTGAAAGAAAGGATAGAAAGTTCCATAACACATGGCTTAGAACAAACACGCGAGGTTTGCTCTCAGAGATGCAAGATCCCCCTTCAAACCCTAATCCCAATCCCTCTTCTCACAATGCCAATGCCAATGCCAATGCCACTTCTCAATTCCCGCCACCGCCCCCCGCTGTTTCGGCTTCCGCGCCGACGGCGACTCCCGCCGGGTCATCTTCGTCTTCTTCGCTCTTCATGAGGGGAGGAGCTGCTGCCACCGGCGTCGTTGGGTCCCACCCAATCCACCACCACCACCACAGGAGGGCCCACTCCGAGGTTAACTTCCGCTTGCCCGATGACATGATGGATCTGTCGCCGTCTGATCCGTTCAATGGCGGCTCATCCACGGCTAGCCTTGAAGAGATCGGATCCGAGGACGACCTCTTCTCCACTTACATTGATGTTGACAAACTCGGAGGTGCTAACGGATCGGGAAGTGGTGGCAACGGATCAGATCAGAATGGCAATGGGAATGGGAATGGCGTCGGTACTAGCAATCACAATGAAAGAGAGAAGAGCCCGAGTGCAAGGCCGAGACACAGGCACAGTAGCTCCGTGGACGGGTCGACTTCTACAAGCATGTTTGGAGAGATTATGGAGGCAAAGAAAGCTATGCCTCCAGATAAGTTAGCTGAACTGTGGACGATTGATCCCAAGCGTGCCAAGAGGTTTGTTTTCATTTCATTTTCTTTAAGATTCTTGAGTCATTCCTCAAAAAAAAAAAAAAAAAAAAAGAAATGCATCAATTTTGATTCAAATGTCCTATCTTATGCTGAATTGCACCTCATAGCATATTGTGCTCCGTTGGATGAACAACTGTTTCTGTTGACCATCCTGATCTCTGTTAAACGAGTTTGTGTATGATTCGCTTCTTATAGTCAAGATATGTGAATGTTAGTTTCCGATGTTGGTAATCACCGTATTCAAAACTCGAGAAAAGTGCTATATTTTTTAGGTCCAACATAATTATAAAACTGCAGAACTTGATGGCTGGAGAAAAAAGTCCACCTCTTCTGGCCTCTAAAGCGACTAGTTAACCTTCACCTCGCATTAAATGAAGCATATGAATGGCATATTACTGAGAAGGGAAATGTCATTATAATGAGTATATGAAGGCTTGATTTATGAATTAATACTAAACAACTACCATTATGAGTCACGTCTTGCTGTTTGTTGTGAATTTTAATACTTCCTGATGGTTGAGCACACTCAGCTTAACCATTTAATTTTGTGATGAAGAGTTATTCTGCAACAATTGTGGAATTATAGTGTCAGTCAATTTCAGTATCTCTGTATCACAGTAGTTGATATAATTTTGTTTCGTTTACTGTTCATTGATTATTTGTTATTGAATAGAATTCTAGCGAATCGACAATCCGCTGCTCGTTCAAAAGAGAGGAAAGCTCGTTATATTCAAGAACTTGAGCGCAAAGTTCAGACCCTTCAGACTGAAGCCACAACTCTTTCTGCCCAACTTACACTGTACCAGGTTTGTGTTGACATGTCTAAAGTCAATTTTTAGCTTATTTATGATGCGGGAAATTTTTTGAAGTTCATCTGTACAGTAAATTCAACTCGCACGCAAAAATCTTTTGGATTTGGTTGGATTAACATAATTCTCTTTTTTAAATTTAAGCGACAGGATGCATAATTTTTATGGTTTATCAGTGCATTGCTCTTCAGGATTTTCTTCTTTTTAGTAAGCCCAGTTCTTTCTGCCCACAAGAGTTTAAAGCTTTTTCATCACTTCGTTAATTCCCAGTTCAGTGATGGCTTTTGGCTCCCAAACTCTATTTGATTAATTTCAGTTTCTTTCTATAGACAAATTTGTGGCTGAATACTAATGTGATCAAATTATTCCTTGGATTTTCAGAGGGACACAACAGGTCTGAGCACAGAAAATACAGAGCTTAAGCTTCGTCTGCAAGCCATGGAACAACAGGCACAGCTTCGAGATGGTAATCATTATTTCCAAGTCACCTACCTTCTCTTGAAATATGAAGTTTATATTTCTTGTGATGCGTTCTAAACCATCTTGCCAAGGTTGACTAATTAGAATGTAATCTATCATCGATCTTGTGTAGCTCTTAATGAAGCATTGAAGAAGGAAGTTGAGAGACTTAAGATTGCAACTGGGGAGATGATGAGCCCTTCTGAATCATTTAATCTGGGAATGCACCAGATGCAGTTTACGGCTTCAAACTTCTTTCCACTTCCACCTCAGTCAGGGCCTTCTGGTCACCACAGCATGCAGTTGCCGTCATTCAACCACTCGTCTAGTATGCCAATTCATCAACATCAACTGCAACAAACAGACTCTCATCCATTCTCAGAAATGTTGCAGAATGACCAACTTGGTCGTTTGCAGGGGCTTGACATTAGTAGCAAAGGATCACCCCTTGTGAAGTCTGAAGGCCCCTCACTTTCTGCAAGTGAGAGTAGCACAACATTTTAAGTTTGACACAACTGTTTGACCAGCTGACTCATCCATGGCCCGCCTTTCTCGTCAATTGTTTTAGAGTGTTGACATCTAGTTATTTATTGAAGGTACTGCATTCTATTAATATCCATTCAGATTAAGTATAAATTCTAAATTGTTTATTCTTAGGGTTGCTCCCCAAAAAGGGGAAGCACCCTTGGGGTTTTGTTGCAAAGCTCAAGAATTCTTGTTTCTACATGGCATTTGGTGTTTCTGGGCGCTAAAATATTGGGAATGAAGGGTCATTCTCATTGTATCTTCGGAAGTTGGGACTTTTGTCAATCCCCTCCTGTCATTTGTATCATCATTTACGTGATAGCATTGTAAACTGTGTGATTTATTGTTCTGTTCTCAATGTAAGATGAACTTGAAACCCCATAATGCCTTTATTATTATCATTTCTTTCGTAGAAGTTGTACAATCCTTGGATTTTGGAGTCCTATTGTTGTGATAGCCTTTCACACGTCAGACATTCTCATTATGCCTTGGGTGATTACGCATGATTTTGGCAACTCTAACGGAAGATTCATGTACTCCTATTATTTTAAGATTCGTAGCTAAGTGGGGTTTCCTGAGTTAGCTAACTCTGTTCAACCATCATGAACCAAAGGATTGGATCATTGGGATACCCGAAAGACATTTCATTTCTTGTTTTGCAGATATGTGGCCCTTGTAAAGCCCTGGGGTAGTGGATTTTATAACCTAATATTCTCACTATGCTTTATGTATGGTCACACGCGCACATCATCCTATCCATCCCTGCCTGTCTTTATTTTCGTGCTCTGCTGTTGTTGAATTATTTGCTTGTAGAGTCCCACTATTGAATCCAGATAAGGACGTCGTCCTTGACTCAACCAGCGATGACTTCGTATAACTAAATTATGTGGAGTTATCATGCTGGTCCTTTGTGCATGAGATCTATCTACTGGCTACTGCATAAATGAGTAGGGGGAAAAATCTTGGTACTGTCAAGTGGGGAAAGGCAATTTCACTTTTCACCAGAGAATTATGAGACGGTCATGAATGAAAGCTACGTTTGAATGGATTTCGAAGGAAAATGATCCCCATTTGCAGCCTTAGCTTACCAGAAAAATGAAATTATAAATTTTCCCTCATAGATTTGACCTACCTGAGATTTGTCTATTCAACCCCTTTTACCCTGTGCATCGAGCGGGATCCCCAGTTGCAGCTTTAGCCGTACTCCGTTGTTGCTTCATGCTCCATTCATATCACATACCTCATATGTGTGTCAGCCATTGAACGCCTCACCGAGATAGACAGACTCAAATTTTAACCTGTCAGCGCACGCAGTTTGGGGAAAATAACCTTAAATTAGCAGCAACCCTCAGAAAGGCTTGGCAAAATAAATAAAGGGTGTGTTTGTTCTACATTCAAATAGATATAGCATAAGTTAAATTCACTTGAAAATAAGCCATGCACGTTTTTGAAAAAAGATATGGTATTTAAAATCTTACTAACTATATATATATATATATAAATGAATTCGAGCTCAATCTAATTAAGATTGGTCAGGTTCAACTCTCAAGTCTCAACGGTGGGGAAAAAAAAAAAACAAAAGAATATAGCCTGTCGGAGATTGGTAATATGAAAATAATTCATGCAATCAACTAATAATATTTTCAAAGAAATATGACACAACTAACATCGTCCAAATCCAAAACTCCTTTCAACAATTATTTGCATGACGCGTGGTGGGTTTGTAACAATAAATGTCTCATGAATTGATTTTAGCGCAGTAATATTTCCTTGTTATCAATATCATCAATAAATATACATTACTAAAAACTGCACCAGTTATATTGTGGCTTCCAAGTTATACTTTTTTTGCTCAAGAAGTTATCATTCTAATTCCCATATAATTCATAGAATTTAAGATCGAGTTAGATAATTTAGAAAGCAGAGTAACTAATAATAATTACACTCTAATAAGACGTGGGTTCCAGCATTATAATGAATTGAATATTGAATAATATCGTTTTTGGTTATTAATATAAGAGTTGGTTTGATATTTAATTTAGTCCTAAATATAAGATTTTAATTCATTTCGTCTTTCATATTTATATATTTTTTCTCAAAGTAGTCATTGTAATAATTACAAATATAAAAGATACCATCAAATAGTAGTTATAACTAATATTCATAATTAATAATGATATTTTAAAAAAGATATTACATATTTATTATACATAATTAACTTAACAAATTTTATTAATCAACTCAAATTAATTAATTGAGTATTATATTATGGATACAGAAATTAAGAATTAATAATAATTTTTTGTAACGTAATAACAATAATAATAAATAAGGCTGGTCGAAATAGAAGTAATATTTGTTGGCAAAAAAAAAAAAAAGAACTGAAGAAGTGATATTTGATAGTCCTGATATTTTGGAGATTAATCTTGAATACGGTGACATTTGTTGGGAAAAAAAAAAAGGAAAGAAAGAAAGACATTTTTCGGGAGCCCAGCTCGGCTACTCAAGCAGCAGCAGCAGGGCGGCCTCTTTCTCAAGAAAGCGGCAAAAGTCTACTGAGTTCGAAGTTGTAAGCAGGAGCCGACTCGGACCCGAAAGAGAGGTGCGGCAAGGTTTCTGGCGGGCTTGCTGCCTCTGAACGCTGACTCTTCCCTCTCTTCCTTTTCCTTCACTAAGAAAAAAGCTAATGCGAATGGCTGGCCCCACTTTTTCGTCTGACGACATCGTAATCACGTCTCCCAACGATAGGCGTTTGTACAGGCTTCTGGAGCTCGAAAATGGCCTTCGTGCTTTGCTAGTTCATGATCCCGAGATTTACCCCGAAGGCCCCCCCAAGGCTGTCATGGGCGACGAAGAAGAGGACGAGGAGGATGAGGATGAGGATGATGATGGGAGTGAAGAAGGGGATGAGGATGACGATGAGGATGGGAGTGAAGAAGGGGATGACGATGATTTTGAGGACGTGGATGGGGAAGGTGCCCACCATGAAGCAGGAGGAAAAGGGAACAAGGCTGCACCCCAGACTAAAAAGGTTGCTTATTCTCTGATTGTTGTTTTATTTTCTGATAGCAAATTCCAGGAGAAAAATGACGGTGATAGGAAAATTTATGAAAATTGTATGGAAATGTGACAGTATGAACGGAAACAGTTGGATGCCAAAAAAATGTTGGGTACATTTGGTTTGGTTTCTTTATGAATTCATGTTTCCTGGGCAGGCCGCGGCGGCGATGTGTGTAGGAATAGGCAGCTTCTCTGATCCATTCGAGGCTCAGGGACTAGCACATTTTTTAGGTCAGATTATTTATCTTATTTTCTTTTCCTTCCATTATCTTGCTATTTATTGCCTATACAAATGAATTGCCTTAACTTGTCTTGCAGAACATATGCTTTTCATGGGGAGTGATGAATTTCCAGATGAAAATGAGGTCTGTTTGGTTGTCGTATATTTGAAATACTCTCCTTGCAATATTTGAGACATTGTTGCGTCTGTGTGATTTGGAATGTAGCAAGTTGGTCTTGATGCCTGTAGTAAATTCCATGACGAACTCTTGAATGCGATCTGTTGACGCATATCAATTATCAGATGAATTTTTTTTAATACGCATGAATATAATCACGTTGTTGATTTTCATCTAGTTAAATTTTCTGAACATTTGTGGCAGAAGCATGCATTAAGATTGATTGGCCTAGTTGTTTGACTCTTTTTATTGTTAGTATGATAGTTATTTGTCCAAGCATGGTGGCTCATCTAATGCATACACGGAGACTGAGCATACCTGTTATCACTTTGAAGTGAAGCCAGAGTTTCTCAAGGGTGCCTTGAAAAGGTAAATCTTGCTATGCACGCAACATTGATAGCAGAATTCCTGTCTATTATATGGTTTCACACGTTACAGTTTGCAGGCAGCCAGATAGTTTATATTTCTATTTACGCCCTCCAAATTTGCAATACACTTTTTATCTGTTGGCTGCGACCATCTCGGTTCCTGTCAAATGCAATGACTTAATGTGCAGTTTGTACAAGGGGATTTTGTACATGCATTTTGCCGGAAATATTTTTTTAAATTATTTTTTCTTTTATTTTGTAAGATAACCTGCTGTTTGTGCTATAAGGCTTAAACAAAATAAAAACATATGAAGCGTGATCTCTGATCTATGACATTTTTACTATATTTGTTGTGTGCTGGAAATTATTGTTTTAGCAAATTGTCTGGGTAATATTTATGTAATAAGCTATATTAGTTATGTTGGGCCTAAACCATATTCAGTCTTTACGTTGTTTATCTTAAGATTGTTGTGCATATCTGTTCTTTTGATGCACTGGATGCTGCTTGTTTGATAAAGCTTTTTTTTTTTTTTAGATTTAATCTTTTTGGGTCTATTGCTGTTTCAGATTTTCTCAGTTCTTTATTTCACCTCTAGTAAAAATGGAGGCTATGGAGCGAGAAGTACTTGCAGTAGATTCAGGTATTTCTCACTTTATGGTATTCCACTCTTTCAGCTTTTCATTGTGGAAATGGCTTCCTTTCTTGTTAGTTTGCTGATGAAGCAATACTTTTTGGCTGGTTATTGTATGCCGTATTGGTGTGTGAAATTCAATGTAGAATTCAACCAGGTTCTACAAAGTGATGCTTGCCGTCTTCAACAAGTTCAATGCCACACTTCTGCACCTGATCATGCTTTTAACAGATTCTTTTGGGGTGAGTTTAGAGGTTATTCCTTCGTTTCTTGATCAAGAATTTTTTTCAAATATGCAAAGTGACATTTTCTGTTTTTTATGCATACATGAAGGGAATAAGAAGAGCCTGGTTGATGCTATGGAAAATGGTATCAATTTGCGGGATCAAATATTGAAATTATATATGAATTATTACCATGGTGGATTAATGAAGCTTGCTGTGATTGGTGGAGGTGAAGTTCTATTTCATAATTCTTAGCTCGAGCTTTTTGGGTATTGATATGGAAAATCAAGAGGTGGAATATACCCTGTAGTTCCTACTTTTACTTAAATCTACTATATGGTCTTTTAATCATAATGATATGGTACATGCCACAGAGTCTCTGGATGTGCTTGAGAGCTGGGTTGTGGAATTGTTTGGTGCTGTGAAAAAAGGTCACCAAGCAAAGCCAGAATTTAAAGTGGAAGGTCCTGTCTGGAAAGCTGGTAAAATATATTGGCTAGAAGCTGTTAAAGATGTTCACATCCTTGACTTGTCATGGACATTGCCTTGTCTACATCAAGAGTATCTAAAGAAACCAGAAGATTATTTAGCTCATCTCCTTGGACATGGTAAGATACCTCGTTATGCATGAATTCTAGAACTAGGAGGTGATGAGCCTGTATCCGCATCTATCTGTTGTAACGCATGTGCTTGTATACTAAACTATTCTTTTAGTCCAGCTAATCCAGATTACTCCAATGTCTGTATTTGTTTCACAAAAAAAAGACCTCTGTCGCAATTAGATGGATGCAATGCGTTTTTGTTTCATAGGAGAACCATTTTACTGTGTTTGCAATTTTACACCTTCTTGTGGAATTTAAAGGCAGTCAGTAAATTTTGTCTTGAGAAAATGCCTCTAATATTGACAAAAATGGAGCTGATATTTATTTTGCAATTTCAGCTGATGTATTTTTTTAGAATTTCTCTACTAGACAGACTGAATTTTCTTTGAAAATCCAAATTATGTATCTTATAGATTGGTTCAAAAAAGATTTCTTCTCTAACTATTATTATTTATTAGTCAATCCTGACTTAATGGCCTGATCTGAAACATTAAGTCTGAAATGTTATTTTCTGTGATATAGTTTTCTCATATTTTTCAGTTATTTTGATTTATAATCTAACCGTTTGAATATGGAATTGCAAATATATTAGGTTAGTGGTGGTATTGATATATTTGATTAGCTTGTAGATAAAGTATTATTTGTTCAACGATTATCCCATTCATTAGATGTGGTCCCTGTGGTTCAGACCATGCCAGTATTTTTCTACATACGGTTGAACTTTCTGTCATGACTCACTAGCAAGAACATAATTTTTCAGAGGGTAGAGGAAGCTTGCTTTCCTTTTTCAAATCTAAAGGATGGGCTACTTCTCTGTCTGCTGGGGTTGGCGATGAAGGAATGCACCGCTCATCTATAACCTACATTTTTGTCATGTCCATACATCTCACTGACTCTGGTTTGGAAAAGGTAACTTTTCAATTAACGTGTAGGTCCTTCAGATAGATCAGTGAACTTGGACTATTCATGTGTGCCCGTATATTTTAGTCGTTGTTTGTAAAGATTCTTGGCGTATAGTTTATCATCATATAAGCTCAGTGTCAGTTTCTGCTTCGTTTTACTTGGAGAAATTTGGCAAATTAGCAATCTTCCCGTTTAATATAAGTATGAGCTTGGTGGAAGCAGTATCGAATTTTCGTCTATTCTCTCTCTTCCCCTTGGGTGGGGGGGGGTTAATATTTTTAACAAATGTCGTCATCATTACTTTCTTACTGAAGTTATATTTCTCTCTCCCAGATTTTGGATGTCATTGGTTTTGTATATCAATACCTTAAGTTGTTGCGTCAAATTTCTCCCCAAGAATGGATATTTAAGGAACTTCAAAATATTGGAAACATGGAATTTAGATTTGCAGAAGAGCAGAAGAGCAACCTCAAGATGATTATGCTGCTGAGCTTGCAGGTTTTTATCAGTTCCTTATCTTGCCATGCTTCTTTATTCTTCTCCTCCTGCTTCTTTTATGCTGCTGGGCTTGCAGGTTTTGATGAGTTCTTTTCTATTGCCATGCTTCTTTCTTCTTCTCATCTTCATTGCTGTCAGCTCCTGGCAATTGTTGCTAACTTGTTTCTTCAATCTTGTTTTTTGACAATGAGGTGTTTAATCTCTTTTTTCAACTTGAGTTTTGCTTTGCATATGGAGGGTCCTTTAAAATTAGCCTTATTGTGCAAGCTGGGTCCGTGAAATGAATTTGTTTGTACAAGAACCAATCAAAGTCATTGTGCATGTTCGAAGGGACAGTAGTGCTCATGTCTGTATAATGATGTTCTTAAATCTTAGGTATAGAGAAATAGAAAGGAGAGGCCAATGCTTAACTCCACTATACTTCCCGTCTCTTCACTTGGTTACTTCTTTTTAGTGATAATGCACTCTTACATAAAGAGGTTGCAATTTGGCACACATGTTAAGAAATATGATTAATATGGAAATTTTCCTTTTTCACTTTCAAATTTGCTCTTTATTCGTTTTATAATTAATAAAAAGAAAACAAAGGAGCAAGTGTAGTTATATATGACGCATTGAGATTGTAAATAAGGGTATATTAGGAATAGGATTATAGGATTAATAAATGATGCATTGAACTGTAAAAGGACATTTAATATGCAAAAAATTTCTTTTAAAAAGACATAATTTGAAACTGAGGAAATATATATGATTATTACTCCAGTTATTCTTATCTTGTTACTATGTTGTGCAGAAAATTTACACTTCTATCCACCAGAGCATGTCATCTATGGTGAATACGTGTACAAAACTTGGGATGAGCAGCTGATAAGACATATTCTTGGTTTCTTCACCCCCGAAAACATGAGGGTAGATGTTGTGTCAAAGTCCTTCCCAAAGTCAGAAGGTACATTGTAGTTAGGCCTTATGTCTTATTTTTCCTTGTCTATATAATTGAATTTGTGTGAAAGCCTGGGCGGTTATCTCTGAACTTTATTAATCTAATAATGATATTCTGATGGTAAATTTTTGGTGCCTTTCCTTGCTATGTTAATAATTTCCATTTGTCTCATGAAAATTGATAATTATAATTATTTTGTTAATAAAAATAAGGTCATAAGATGAATTTTCTTGTTGATGATTAAACTACTCAAATTTTCTTTTCTTTCCAGGCCTCCAAATTGAACCTTGGTTTGGTTCACAGTTTACTGAGAAAGATATTGCACAAAATTTGATGGAGTTATGGAAGAATCCTCCTGAAACTGATGCTGCATTGCATCTTCCATCAAAGAATGAGTTTATTCCAAGTGATTTCTCCATTCGTGCTGGTGACCTCTGCAATGATGACTTTGCAAATTCAACTTATCCTAGATGTATAGTTGATGAGCCTTTGGTGAAATTCTGGTACAAGCTGGATAGTGCTTTCAAAGTTCCTCGGGCCAATACATATTTTCGCATTAACTTGAAGGGTGGATATGATAATGCAAGGAGTTGCGTATTGTCTGAATTGTTTATTCTCCTTCTTAAAGATGAGCTGAATGAAATTATATATCAGGTTAATCATCTTATTAGCCCTAAAACTGATAATATGTTGATTTTTATGCTGCTGATTGAAGTACTCCTAAATTGAATATCAATTTTCTCGTAGTAGATTTTCTTGAATTACTTGTATATTTAAAGCATTGGTTGCATCACAGATATTCTGGACACAAATCGGTATTTTCTTTACAATTGGAATTTGATGGTTGCAATTTATTGGTTTTTCATTCAAAAGCTTTCTGTGCCATCCTAACATCCATTTCCATTGCTGGGTAATAAAATGGATGACCATTGATCTGCCCATTATTACTCGGATAATTCATTCATCATATCTTTGTAGAAAGTGACACAACAATGATGATGTGCAGTCTTTTGGATTTCCCCCCCCCCCCTTCGTAATCTTCTGTGAAGTGTTTTTGTTCACATTTTGCTGAAGTGCTAACGATTGCAATTGGCAGTCACCTTGATCTAAGTGTAACAATTTGATTTCTGTCCCGTCTTTTTTTTTTTTTTGAGATCTTTGTCATCCGCATTGTGTTTGAATGATAGAAACCAATCACTTGGAATTCTTTTTAGATATCATTCTATATGAGCCTCTGCTTATGCTTGCAGGCCAGCATTGCCAAGTTAGAAACTTCTGTCTCTTTCGTTGGTGACAAGCTTGAGCTCAAGGTCTATGGTTTCAATGATAAGCTTCCAGTTCTCTTATCTAAACTACTGTCTGTGGCTAGAACTTTTATACCGACTGAAGATCGATTCAAGGTATGGGGCATGTTTCTTTGTCTCTCTTTTGACTTGTGTTTTTATTCCCCTTTTTGTTCTCATGGAACAACGCTGGTTAGGACAGGTTATAAAAGAAGATATGAAGAGAACTTTAAAGAACACAAACATGAAGCCTTTAAGCCATTCATCATATTTGCGGTTACAAGTTTTGTGCAAGAGCTTCTATGATGTTGATCAGAAACTGAGTCATCTAGATAATTTGTTTCTTGATGATCTGAAGACATTTATTCCTGATCTTCGTTCCCAGGTAGATATGATTTTTTGAACGTTGTATCAGTAGGTTCTTTATACCTGTGACAGTCTTCTGACCATACTGCATTCCTAAATTGTCTTTTAACTGTACTTTGTACAGCTTTACATTGAAGGTCTTTGCCACGGAAACCTGTCTGAAGAGGAGGCCATTAGCCTATCAAATATATTTAAGATGAATTTTCCTGTACAACCGCTCCCCAGTGAGTTGAGACATGCTGAGCATGTTATTTGCCTGCCATTAAGTGCCAACCTTGTTAGAGATGTTAATGTGAAGAACAAATTGGAAAAAAACTCTGTGGTTGAGGTAATTTCAGCTGAGCTGATTTTTGCTGGTATTTCAACTTTGTCGTCCAAAAGTAATGTGTTTTAATAATTTCTATCAAATTTCCTATTTTTACTTTGTTTTGTTTATCTATGCAGCTTTACTTTCAAATTGATCAAGATGCTGGGATGGCATCAACTAAATTGAAAGCTCTGATTGATCTTTTTGATGAAATAGTAGAAGAACCCCTTTTCAATCAACTGAGGTGATAATCTGATGCCATAATTATCTCATATTTTACCATGGATTTTAATAGGAGTTTTGTTCATGAGGATGTATTCTATTTTGCCTTGTTTAATCTGGGTTGCAGTTGGAATCCATAAATATGTCATTTAAAAACACGATTATCGCATGAGAAAATCTGTTGCTTCTATCAGCTTCATCATGACAGAAAAAAGCCAAAATGCACTTGGACTGCTGTCGGTGATATGAATATGTCATCTGCTCGGATTGAAACTTTGCTTTTGTTCTGGCATTCTGGTGAACTTGTTTCATTGCAAATTGTTCAAATCATCTGTTACTGACATCTTAATGGTACCATAGTACTTATAATGCATATAACTTACCATTACTGATTTTACAGTTTTGGATTCTATGATACCATGCTGCAATAAACAACTTATTTGAAGTTGTGTTTTCCTGTTTCTTTTATTTTCCTCCCATATTCTTGTTTCAGACTTGGGGGGCTGAAATTCTTAATGTATTTCTGGATCCAGGACAAAGGAGCAGCTTGGTTATGTTGTTGAATGCAGCCCACGTTTAACATACCGTGTTTTTGGGTTTTGTTTCTGCGTTCAGTCATCTGAGTACAACCCCATTTACTTGCAAGGAAGAATTGATAACTTCATAGATGGCCTGGAACAATTGTTGGTAAGTATTCGAAGTCCCTTCCTCTTCCACATCATATTTTAATTGCTTCCTATGGACTATAACAAAAATTAGACGAAATTTGTGTGCTCAAAAGGTTTTAGTAAGCCTTACCATTTTGTATAAGGGGAAAAATATAAGCTGAATAATAAAACGCTGGATTTTTTTTTTTTTTTGGGCATAAAAATGCTTAGAGGTTGTAATCAGCAGATTCTGAAATTACTCCATGCTTGAGCTGTAGAAAGTGAGAAATCTTACAGCCTTGTTTATTTACTTGACTAGATTTTTAGAAGCTCAGCTAACAACTTTTTGCTATTAAGTTTAGGAACACAGTCAGCTTGAGATGGCTATCTGTGATCTTCTCTTCCCATTTTTCTTGCATGGGTTCTTTGTATTTGAGGTTCTTCTCTGCTTATTCTTCGAATCTGTATCCGAATGCTTAAACCTATTAAATGTGAATATCTTTTTCAAGGATTAAAAAATTTATTTATAAAAAATGATTGGATGTGTATTTGCTGCAAATTGCTAAATGAAGACTTATTTTGAAATAACAATGGGAATTGCAGGAAGGACTTGATGGCGATTCCTTTGAGCACTATAGAAGTGGGTTGATGGCAAGGCTATTGGAAAAAGATCCGTCACTTACGTATGAAACCAGTAGATTTTGGAATCAGATTGTTGATAAAAGGTACTTCACATTTTTTGTGGTTTAGAATGCAGATTTCAGTTATTTATCTTAACAGAAAACATTATTTATCTGAATCAGATTGGTTGCCGCAATGAGTATTTTCTGACCAGAAAACATTATTGATGTTCAGGTATATCTTTGACTTGTCGAAGAAGGAAGCAGAAGAACTGAGAAGCATAACCAAGAAAGATGTCGTCGACTGGTACAAGACGTATCTTAAGCAGTCGTCGCCGAATTGTCGGAGACTTGTTATTCGTGTATGGGGTTGCAACACAGACTTGAAAGATGCTGAAGCAGTACCCAAAAATGTTCAGGTCATTGGAGACCCAGAAGCCTTTAAGATGTCATCCAAGTTCTATCCTAGTGTCTGTTAACTTGAAAGCTGAAACTTCCTTGCGTTGGAAGTGTGGCATGGCCATGGAGGGGCCTTCATTTCGCATTATAATATGGTTGGTGGGCGGTGGCTACTGAGGAACACTTGCTAAAGGTTTCAGAGGAAGAATTTCTGAAGTCATGGCTCTTCAATGATGCCAAATTACTTTTTTTTTTTTACTCAACCTAATTTATACCCATAAATGGGCTGCACTGTAAACGGTGCAATTTCATTTCAAGCCTAAAGTGGTTTCACTATTTTTTTTTTGTAAGCCTTTCGAAATTTAAGTATTTATTATAGGCTTTAATGCCATAGTTATTGTTATTTTATCGATATGCATTTAATTTTCCATGCTTTCGAATGATTGTTCTTTGTAATTGATTGTTGACCTGAGCTTTTGATAACAATTAAATTGTTCAAGATGCTTGCATTTTTCAGAACAAATATTTCTGTAATGTTATTATATGGTTGCCTTTTCTATTTTCTGTATGCATCCCTTAAGGTCGCCAAATTAAAATTCTCACGCCGAATTATATGGCAATAATTTATAATCAGAAAGCTGCCCAAGAGAAAAATAATCGGAAAACCCGGCTTCTCCCGTCGCTCTCTCGTTTTTGTAGTTTTTGTTTCTTTTTTCTCTCTTGAATCATCTAAAGTTGATATCCATGAGTTTTGTAATCTTTTAAAAATATTTTTACCATTTTATTATTTTATAAACATTACCTTAAAAAATTTCTCTGCCTAACATATTTAGTTTTATTTTGAATACTTGCATTGTATCCATTTATGAAATAATTTTTGCAATATATTTTAGTTGTAGCTATGCGAGGTTTATATTTAAATAATATTTTTTCGGTTCTTAATATAAAACCTAATTATTTAGTTAATTTTGTTTCTAAATATAAAACCTATTTTTTATATTTATCAATTTTTTAAATTACTCATATAAATATTTCTCAACTATAATCAAGTAAGTGAGGGAGGAAAATATTAAAAAAGATGATTATGTTGTTTTAGAAAAAACATGTCATATTTTTTATAATTAACTAACTTACTTAATTTTTTAATATAATCAAATTAATTAAATATGATTATATTAAAGACCGGAAGGAATAGTAATATTAAGGAATTTTCAAAATAGAACCTCAAAAAAATTATGAAATAAAACCATAATTTTAAAAGAGGGTAGAAATTTGTCTCAATTTATAAAAAAATATTTTCTTTTAAGTTTTTTTAATTTTCCAAACACTCCTAAAAAGATAAAAATGGCAAAGGCTGAAGGCTCTACCTTTTTTTTGGTGACAAGGCTCCACCCATTTAATTGTAAAGATTTTGATGACGAAAAAAAAAATTGTAAACACAACCTCGTCTGGTTGTCAGATCCATTTTTCCTCGTCGACGAACGAGCATTCTGCACTTGGTCGAGCTCGCCGTCGGACACCGTCCACCATTGTCAGCGCTGCGTGGTTGTTCTGCGGCAAGTACTGAAGAAGGTTCAAACCCGGGCCTTAACTTCCCCCAAAATCCTGTGAGATTGATTTGTTTGATCTGGCTTTGAATCTGGATTTGAATTCGTTCCCCAGGTCATCTGTTCCCGCGTGGTTTTCAACCCTGGTAAATGACTTGTCTCGATTTGTGTCTGGCAATTTAGAAGCTTGAGTTTAAATCATTTCTTGCGGCTCATTGGTCTGTGAATTTAGAAGCTGTTGACAGAAACAATCAATTGCGCAACTTACTCACTCTAGGGAACACTTCATTATCATAAACTGCAAGATGAAATTGAAAGATCATATATTGCAAGAGTGTTATCACTGTCATTCTTCAGTGGCTTGGAGGAGTTGCTTGGCTTACTAGGGCATAATCTTTAAAGGATCTGGAACAAAAATTGAAAGAGCATGATATCAACTATGCATATTTCAAAGATTTCGGCGGGGGCATGAGTGCAATATAGGTCCGCCTATGTATGCTGATGCTTGAATACACGGGTTTTAATGTTTGTACCTATGAAATTTTGTCTATACTACTGATGCATGAGTCAGTATGCAAATGAATCTCTATTGCGTTTCATGGCATTTGGTAGTGTGTGATCATTAGTCCTGACTACTAGTTTCTAGAGTGTGATCCTTTAATATTCCTCTCATATGGTGTCATGAGGCAACTTTATTTTGGAATTATGGAACCTGGTTTGTTAGAAACTATGCAAGCTTGAAATCTTTTGTTGTTGATGTTTATGCCCTATGTGGAGCAGCGACGACATACTCTCTCATCTATATTATAAATTAAATGTTATAGTCAGTTTGTTTTCTAAATTAACGGAATTAATTTGCTTTATTCAATAACTTTCATTTCAAAAGTACATGGAGTTTTCTTATACATCTTTTAGAGATCATAAATGATCTATGGCACTATTGTGTATATTCAATTAATTTCTTCGGTTAGATGCTTATGCCTTGGGATTTTCCCCATATGCTTCCATGTTGACCTTTAGACTCTGGAAAGGGATTTTGGAATGGCTGCAATCTACAGTCTTTACATCATCAATAAGTCTGGTGGATTGATCTATTATAAGGTACGGCATTAGTTCTAAATTCTCCTTCAGACATTTTTTTTTTCCCTTTTAACCCCTGAGACAAAATTTCCTAGAAATGCTATTCTAAAAAATTTAGTGGAATCAAATGTTCCGGTTTTTACTTCATTCCCTCAAGGTCATGGATTCCAAATGTCAGACTGTTAAGCTTATCAGTAAGGTCATAGGTGTGGACGGAAGCTTCTATTCCTACGAATATATATATATATATATTTTAGTAAGCACTGGTATTCTCCTATTAGAGACAATTCTGTTCGAAGTATTATCGTGTGCATCTTTCCCAACAGGGATTCAAACCTCCTACGAATATGTTTAATGAAAGAAATGAGATGACTAAGAAATTCGGTTGCATTTTTTGTGACTTTGTTCTCTGATTCTTGCCTTCCCCAGAAAATTTCCATTTCTATATGATTGGTAATTTTACTTGTATGTTTCTTACCGTTGCTAATGTGTTTGATGTTTCAAAAATATGTCGAATGTTGATATTTGTTGTCTGATGGCACCCAACTCCAATATTCAAGTGATGATAAACACTGCCAGAGTATAATCTAAGCAGTTGGAAACGCTGAAAATAGGAAGAAAGCTTCACGCCGAAAACTCTCCCAATTGTAATCACTCACTGATTACTTTCTTTCCTTAGTACTCTCACCTCATAATAAGCGCTGCACTCACTCTTGCATCTTAGACCTTACTACCCGTAGTCAGATACAAGCTTGGCCCATCAAAGTCCAGGGAACAAATAAATAGAAATAGCCTCAACTTTCTTGTCCGACTTTGGTAAAATAAACAAACAAAAGATAATTTCAATATTTTAATGGTAGTAATTTCTTATGCATAGGATTATGGTTCTGCTGGAAGAATGGATACCAATGACAGTTTAAGAGTGGCAAGTTTATGGCATTCAATGCACGCCATCTCTCAACAGCTGTCACCGGTTTCAGGTTGTTCAGGGATTGAACTTTTGCAAGCTGATACATTCGATCTTCATTGCTTCCAGTCACTTACGGTATTTTCTTACATTCATGATCTTCAACTCATCATGTCTGGCATTTGAATTCTTTGATGTATATCAGTGTTTTGGTGTATTAAATGGAGAATGAATTTTGGATGATGAAGTGGAGGTCCTAATCCCAAAGAAGATAATTCCAGACGCTAGGTTTCCATACTAGTGTGGGTGCTGCATTTATATTACTTCATTTCTCAAAAACTGAAGCTCCATTGGTTGATCCTCTGACCGTCATTAGTTAGTTGGTATTGATGCTAGTCTAGGAATCCGAAATTACTTATTTTCTTCATCTGTGCAGGGACAAAATTTTTTGTGGTCTGTGAGCCTGGAACCCAGCACATGGAAAGTTTGCTGAAATTCATATATGAGCTGTACACTGATTATGTTCTGAAGAACCCATTCTATGAGATGGAGATGCCCATACGTTGTGAGCTCTTCGATATCAACTTGACACAGGCGGTACAAAAGGACCGGGTTGCATTTTTGGGACGATAAATTACAAACCCCCCCCCCTCCTTCTCACGTCTCTGGTTCATACAGGCTCTGAAAATTTTCATTTAGTAGCTTGTACTATTCGGAGATTAGTTGCTTGTTTTTTATCAGACAAATTCCCAGGAGAATCCGTATATCCTTACTAAACTTTTTTCTGGAGCCAGAGATATGCAAAGTGCCCGCAGTCCTATTGCAGTTGGTTGGACAAATTTCTGATTGTGGCATTGAAACTAAGAATGTTAGACCAACTTTGTCTATAGCCTGTACTCTTTTGCATAGCTGAGGAAAGTGCAGTGTTGATGCTCCAGACTTCGGGAGATACTTTTTGTTCTTGCTACATTTGATTTGCAAAAACATGGATAATTGGCATTATGTTTGAGGTGGCATTCAAAAATGCATTAGAATTCCAACAAAAAAAAAAAGAGCCTTATAATAAGATATTTATGGGTAATATTTATAATTAGTTTAATATATTTTATATTTAATGGAATGGTTCCTTCAAAACAAATTATTTCACTAAGGATGTTGGAGCATGCTATATTTTTGTAAAATATGTTTACATTGAGAATTAATACAAGGTAAAGGCTTGGGGGCGTGGGTAAGATCTAATTGCGTCTCTTGTGTATTTTTCTTAACGGCCTCAGAAAAATGAGCTTATTATGTCTCAAATATTTCTATTTGAGGCATTTAAAAAAAAAAAAAAAAGTCCTTTGTTTGAGGTGTGAATGGTTTTGATATGCCTCGAATATTTGGATTTTGGCAATTGGGTATCCACCCAGAAGATTGGTCAAAAACTATTTTTTGTATTCTAAATGTTCAGTACCAATAGACTGTTATGCTATTTGGACTCAAAGTTTCCCCATCACTGTTTTGATCTTTTACTCTTCTCAAAAGACAAATATTCCCATAAATTTTTATTGTCCCAGTTTGGGAAAATATTTGAAAAATATGGGATTATGTTGTTGGCAAAGAAAAGATAGATAAGTGACAGGAGCATAGAATTTCTTAGAATGAATTTTGAAAATGGTCAGTATTATCCGGGACCACATATTGCAGAAGAATTGCTCAAGTGTCTAGACAAAAATCTGACAGCAAAACAAATTCAATAATTTTTGAGGATTATTAATTATCTTAGGGATTTTATCTTTCATGTGTCCAACCACACCAACCATCTGTCCAAACTTCTCAAAAAGAATCATCCTGCATGGGGGACAAAGCAAACATCAGCATCAAAACTCTCAAAAGAATTGCACAGCAACCATCTCCTTTAAAGATCCCTGACAAAGGATTACGAATCCTCCAGATTGATGCCAGTGATGACTTTTGGGGAGCTGTCTTAATTGAAGAAATAAATAAAAAGAAATTCTACTATGGACATATAAGCGGACAATTCAAAAAGTCAGAAAAGCATTATTATGCTACCTACAAGAGGTCTTTGCAGTCAAAAGAGGAATTGAGAAATTCAGTTTTCATCTCAATCCTTATCAATTCAAAGTAGAAATGGACAATACGTCTTTTCCCAGAATTAGATTTTGATATATTTCTATTTGAATTTTAGGTAAAAATGCATTAACTGTCTTAATGCCTTGATGCTAAAATAGAGGAGTTTCCAAAATCTGCATCACAAATTTTTTTCTTTTTTGGGACCCAAAAAAACTGTATCACGTCTGAAACGAAGATAGTAGTCAATGTTTAGTCAAAAAATTAAATGTACATCGTATGTGACCGAAAGAAATATCACGTCCGTGTAAGATCGTTGAGCTTCAGTAGTTCATTAGCTTTTGAACGCTCCGAAGTTGGAGAACATGAAGTTTCCTCAGTGGTAAGAACCATGCAAACTCCCAAATGAATATTTGATAATACTAAAGGTAAAATTAGGCATTACAATTAAAATAATGACATAATAATTTTTTTTTAAAAAAAAATAAGTTACCCAGGTACGGGGCAACAAGCGTGTCTCTGCGAGGTCTATTTCTGCAATAATGGGACCAAACCAAAGTGAAAGGAACTTTCATTGACCCCTAAACAAACAGCACAAGCCGAACAAAACTATGAACATGGTTTTCTTCAACTTTTACATATTGATTAGTAGCTATCCCTTGTCATGCTCCTCGTCTCCTTCCTTTTCATCTGTTTTTTCTATTCAGTGTGAAAATTTTATATCATTATCATAATCTTTTTTTCATTTTTGTGTATTGTCATTATCATTGTTATTATTATTATCAAAAGTGGCTCATGTGTAGATCCAAAGAGCCATCTGTTAATACTTTTTTTTCATTGGTCGTCCATTGTTAGTAATAATCTGACAATTATGGCGTGCTCTGTGGTGAAGCTAATTTAGGGATATAATTTTAACAGAATCAGACAATTAAATTATGAATTATACTCTTTACGTTGATTCAATGAATATAATGCACTTTTAAAACATTACTTCTAATCACAACGAGAAAAGAAAAGCGTAATTTTATGAATGGGAATCCTTTGTTCCTTGTTTCACTCACTGTCCCTGTCTACCTGACAATCACTGTAGCCTTACACATACATAATAAGCAACCAAGTATTCAAATTTTAATATGCATTATATCAATACACAATCTGATATAAAAGGTGTCCAGGAAGATCGAAACCTAACAAGGAATCATATATTATTCTTTCCCATCAGAACAGACAAGAACTGAATTTTTAGAAATGAGTAAAAAAGATTATGAAACATGATTCTTTTCCAACTTCGTGTACTACATTGAAAGAGAGCAGCATATTATAGTATATATCCTAATGATTGATTCTACAACGCTTATATGTGTGTGTGTGTGTGTGTGTGTGTGTATGATCAATAAACATGAATTATTGAATGGGTTAAGAAGATACCAAGCTGAAACTTTGCATGTGATCCCAACATGATAGGCCCCAGTTATCTTACCGCCTTCATGGGTCCTTCATTTTAGCTTAGACATCCCACAATCTGACATTCTATGGAACTCTCTCTGGCTCTCATTCTAAAATCAAATAAAAATTAGGTTTATCACTCTTCCTCCTATATTAACATGACTGGTGATTAGATCAGTAGAAGAGACTTGATTTTCTTTGAGTATGAGTCAAAGGTTTATGAATAGAAAAAATTACGGTGGAAGAGTTATCATCAATCAGTTAAGCTTAATAATACTTCAATCTAATCCAATAGCACCAAAAGTACAAAGGCTAGCCAAAACATGATTAGTTGTAGTTGATGGCTATAGTTTTAGTGTCTTTTTTTGACGATGTAACTAGGATTTTTTATTGGGAGTTGTGAAGACAAGATGCTTGGCATACCAAATACTTGGGTGGGCAATTGAAAATGGAGGTCCATGTGAAAGGAGGGGTTGGTTGAATAATGAGATTCAGTTGAGATAAGAAGGGAGGCCAATGAAAGCAAAAGAAGCACAGGACAAATAGAGACTTTTGCTTCATACATGTTCATGAATCCAAGCTCTCTGTTCTCTCCTGTCCTTCTCCTGATAACCCTTTTTCATTACACTTCTCTAAGTTAATGGATCAACATGTGATTTCATTTTCTACCCATGTCGTCCTCAAGCTATATGTATTTGATATCCAGCATTATCGGACTAGATTCAAACATTGTCAGATCTAATTAAGAGCTATTCTCTAATGCGGTCAATATTTATTTTTATCAAACATTTTCAAATTCAATCTCTCATTCTTTTATAGATATTTTCTTGAATGTTGTCTCTCAACTTTTATCTCATTTTTAACGAGAACAATTACTTTGTAGTTAAATTTAAACTACAAACAAAATCTTATATTAGCAGCTTATATTAGTGGCTGAAGGTAGTATTATTCGCACTTTACCCAATAATCTTTTTGTTTGAAATAGTTCAAGCAATCTTAAAAGATGCACACTCACTCAGTTTCTCTCTCTTTTAAAATCATGAACGAAGTTTCTAAGCACATTTAAAAGTTATAATCATGTATGAATTGAGATTTTATTAACTAAATTAATAGTTGCTTGAAACTTTGTGAATTTGTAAATAAAATCGGATTAAGAATTAGGCATTTAAAATATTTTAACGAATACAAATGAAATTAAAAATTATTTTGAATGTGGTGCATTGGTCATTTCATGTGACAAGCATTGAACAAACACTAAACCAAAATCATCTGATTCCCCGTCTGCCTCCACATTTCGGTGCAAAATCCCTTTAAATATGAAGAAGAAAACAATAAACTTGAAGGACATAGGGAATCCTCTGATTCTAAATCTTTTTTTTTTTTAAATTGTACTAGCAGCAGCATCTTGAAACAGGTCAAGAGATCACCCCCACGGTACTTGAAAAAAAATATTGTTATTCATATTCATATATTACCAACAAATTATAGTATATCTTTGTGCTTTAATTAAAAATCTAATCATAATAAGAAAATAAAAAATGTGGTTGGGAGAGAGAGAGAGAGAGAGAGATGGCCCCAATGAAACGCATCCTCACATAGTCCCATGTCCTTTTTTTTTTGTGGTAAATGACGACGATTAAGATGTATGGGTATAACTGAAAGCATTAATTGATTTAGTTTCATCATAAAGATAGAATGCCATGCATTTTTTTGATTAGTTTAATAAAGAAAAGTGAAAAGTACTTGTGATAAATGCGACAACTAACTTGAAATTATGTATCAATAATATTCCCTCCGTTCCTTATTATAAGAGACGAATAACCGAATTACGTTGATCAAAAAATCAGTTAAAATTAGTTAAGAACAATCAATATAATTTTTTTTTCCAAAAATGCCCTCATTAATAAGGAGAGAGAGCATGAAAGAGAATAATTAAATTATTGAAAGAAAGAGAAGTGAGAGGGAGAGAGAGTGTGAGTTGAAGACAATAAATATGGGTAAAATAGGAAATCAACACAAAAGTAGAGACAACTTTTAAGTGTCTCTTATATATAGGAACATGCCATAAGCATCAAATGTCTCTTATAATAAGGACCGGAGGGAGTAATATTTTAAGCGGGTAGGTCAAGCAATTAGCATACTTTGTCCACACTCATGATTGTAATTAAAACAGACTGGAAGCAAGGCTGTCCCAAATAAATAATCAGCCCATCAAACCACTTTATTAATTCAATTAATGTAATAAAATATTTTTTTAAAAAAGAAAGAAAAGAACACACCCATGTATGTGGCAAATTATCAGTCACTCGCAAAGATTCATTCCTCCTTCCTCTTCAGGAGGATCATGCATCATGCTCATGTTTTTGTAACCCCAAGATTGCCAGATACTTCCCCATGTGCTCTGATCCTCTGTTATCTTCTTTTAAGACCCTACCCCTTACAATTCTCATAGTCATATGGTTCTCTTTATCTCTGGTCACTTCAACTCTTTTCTCAACTA